GGCGCTTTCACTGTTAACAACATATACCAAATCTCAATATTTGAGGCACAAGAGGCAAATCTTACTGGTTTAGGTGTGAAGTGGAAGTTCGAGAGAGCATCCAGCTTAAGAAAGAGTGTGTCCATAAGCTTTTGAATTTCTACATGGGATGGGTTCTCCTCCTCTGTCTTTTTCTGAAATCAGAAGAAAATACAAAAATAATGTATGCGGTTCTTATGTGTTACAGAGCAGCAGTGAAAACAAGATAAATGTCAAACCTGATTCTGCTTGAGGTATTCCTGCTCATAGATTTCTGCTAGACTTTGTTTGCTCTTCTCATGGTCCAACGTAAGTCTCTTCTTGTACTCAAACACTTCCTCTTTGGGTTTCTCCTTTCGGACCACGTCATCAAACGCCTTACAGAGACACAAGCCAAAAGGGACAGGTTTATGACCAGTAAATTATTCCAAAAACAAAAAGAAACACTTTCTTGTGACTAACCTGGTCTTTTATTCTCTGTTTGATGATGTCTTCAAGCTGTAGTGTGGTTTCCTCTGTGATACCAGGTGCTAAAAGAACACAGATACATTGTTGTTATCTGTTCTGAAATAACACACAAACATTTGTTCTTGCGATTTTAATATTCTTAATGAAACAATACAAATATAACAATGGTGAATAATTGTATAAATACCAAATAACATGCATGGCCCAAAAGAAGAGAGTTACTCACCCATCCTGGATGTCTGCTCAAACTCCACATGTTCCTCCAGCATGCTGTTCTCCGGACGCGTCTGCGCCGTCACCTCTCCGGCCAGCTGCCACGGCTTCGTTGCTAGAGCTGCTTTCTCCAACTCATCGATCTTCTCTGACATCTGCAGGTTACGACAACAATTGTATATAATAAATGTTATTAAATGGGCTTTCAGACGGCAATCAGCCCTTCTCTAAAACAATACAAGGGGTTCCGTTGATGGGCGCGTGTAACCTCCAGAGTGAAATAAAAACACAATCCAGGAAGTCCAGGTGGTGGAGGAACAGAGCTGGAAGATATGCACCCCTTTACTTTAATCTGATGTTTATTTAACATGTTTGTCTCATGTTTGAATAGGCATCCTGATCACTTGTATGCAAAGTTCATAATAGCATTCTTACTAGACTGGACCAAGCACCATTTCTGTATCACTTTCAACACAGTGTTGTCTGAATGTATTATATGCAGCAGAAGAGAGAAAGAAATGTACATATTGTGCTGCCGTCTAATGGCGCATTTCCACTGCAGCGGGTAGCCCCGTTTAAGCGTCCTTAACCGTCCTCAAGCGGCCAGGCCAGTTTTTGGTGGCGTTTCCATATAGCCTAGTACCGGCTAGCAGGTACTTTTTCCCTCTTTTTCCGGCCCCATAAAATCGTGGTTCTATCAGACCAGGGCCAGGGCTGAACTAGTGACGTCAACACTCTCGCCTGCTGATTGGTCAGAGAGAATCGTCACAAGATCGCGCGCGAGTTCATCCTTAGCGTTGCATATATATTTAGAAGCAAGCTTGCAGCATTTTGTAAACGGATGAGCTACAAAAATGGCTACGTCTAATAAGAAAAGCACACCGTGGTCGACCGAGGAGGTGACGACGTTCCTACATCTCATTGGGGATGATCAAATCCAGCGGGAGCTCGACGGAACAACTCGAAATGTGAACAAAAACAAAGCCGATCGCCCCGCCTACACTGCGTTGCTACCCCAGGTCCTAAACTGTAATGGCAATGCGCCACGGCCTCGGACGGCCAGCGAGGCAGCCCGAGGCCTGAGCGAGGACGCTTAGGGACGCTTAAACGGGGCTACCCCGTTTCAGTGGAAATGCGCCATAAGAGCACTGTAATTTACCATCTCATCCGTCAAGCACTCTCCTTAGCTTTTTTAAGTTTCACTCATGCTGGCTGCATGAATGAAACAATGAATATGGTGTTAATCAGGCACCAAAAGAAATGTGAAGAACCAACATCGGAAAATAAATATTTGATCGCAATCTAATGGCGCATTTCCACTGCAGCACGTAGCACCGTTTAAGCGTGCCGTGCCAAACCCGGCCCGTTTTTGTTGTATTTCCACCAGGGGTAGTTTTTCTGGCCCTCCAAAATCGTGGTTCTTTCCGGGCCAACAACCAGGCTGAATATGCTAAACTAGTGACGTGAGTGGCTATAACTACAACACAATGAACATATTTTACCGTGATTTAATTGTAATACACGTTTCAAAATGATGCCGAAGTAACAACATACTGATACCGGTTAGTAAAAACCATGAATTAATGCTTTGACAAGTCGGCAGGCGAAAAACCTTTTAAAAGCGTGTTTTCTGAATGGAGATTGGCTAAGCTAACGTTGTATATGCTCCGACCGTCCACACTCGGCCTATACAGACATAAATAAACCAGCGACTGTATTCGCCATGACGCAGACCGTCTGTGGTTTGTACTTGTTTAACTTTTGTCTAGTTTCTGAACAGATGAGGAGCTGTGAGCTCTGACGGCCCGTCTACACTACAGGCATCAAAAAATCTTGAAGCTGGGCGTGTCTGAGGCTTGGCGATTTTTCGCGCCCAAGGCGACCAACAACCAATCAGGAATCTCCCTTGGTCGATTTTGATGATTGACACCTCTTTTTAACCGTTAGAGCCAATAGAATCGAGGGGAAGTTCCTAAAATCCATCTAAACATTACCCATTGGTGAATGAGTGATGCTTAGCCAGAATGCCCAAAACCGGAAGCTGTCATACACTCTGGTAGCTATCATAGCAGCTATATATGAAAACTCCGTTATTGACATAAAAATGTAATGATATATTATCAGTAATCATTTCAGACACATTGGATTAACCTTCAGCAGCGTTTTTATCGTTTTAATGCCATTGAACACAACTTTTGATCAGAACAAAAGCATAGGTAAGACAATGTCCAGTTTTTGCTCCGTGTTGTGATGTCTGTGTTTGCTTCCCCTGTCGCGATCTGTGGAATCTCAGCTTGCTAATCAATATCTTGTTTGTGCAGAGGGTAAAAAAACAGGTTGAACAGGTTAAAACTCTATTCGGACTCCCCATTCGAGCAACACAGACAGCCAAATCAATTTTCTAAAGCTTCTTACCTTGTCTTGCCGTTTCTCAAATGATGACTTTGATTCAGTCTTTGCTGAGCTTGCAGATTTTCCTCCCAAAATGTCGACCAAGTCCTCTCCCTCGCTGTCCTCGTCTCCAAGGAGTTTAAAGCTCACTTTCTTACGGGGTGCTTTCGACTGATTTCCCTCTTCATCACTGGCAAACGGTAGACACAAACATGCTGAGATCAACCATACGTGCTTCTCCCACACATAATTATCTGTTTTATATAATCTAATAACACTTACTCATCGTCACCCTCCTCTTCGCCGTCGGAATCTTCTGCCTCGTCATCTTTATCTTCTTCACCTTCTTCGTCAATGCTGTCATCCTCGCCATCTGACTGCTCATCTGCTTTAGCTGGTTCACCGTCAACCGCATCAAAGAAGTCCTTGTACTTGAGATTCCTGGAGCTCTTTACCTGTCAATATAAACAATGATCAATATTTGTTCTGTATTCTGTACAATCAGGACACAAAGAATAGGTGCGATAAAAATACTTACAGTCTTTTGCTTTTTGGCAGAAAGTAGTTGATCTATGTCGAGATCTTCATCGTCATCACCCGAGGGCAGGTCCTGAAAATAATCTAGCTCATCTTCGTTCTTATCATCTTTTCCTTCTTGCTTGTCCATAACATCAAGAAAAGACTCCATCTCTGACAGTTTGAAGAATGTATCATCGACCTCAGAGGGCACCACCTTTGTTTTGGAGGCTTTCATACCAATCAGCTTTTTCTGTTTCTCTCGCTTCTCCAGAGCATCCACATCAAAATCTAAATCCGAGTCCTCATCTGTGTTACCCTCGGCCCCGTCCTCAGGCTCCACAGCCTTTTTCTTAGACTGTCTAGGTGGCTCCTCCTCATCCTCTGCATTTTCATCATGAGTTTCTACTTCTTCCTCAGCACTGTCCTCTTCCTCTACCAGCACATTTAATGTCTCATCTGACAAGGCCTCCTCAGCTACATCTTTAAAGTGTTTCAGTACAGCGTTGTTCTGTAGCTCCAGCTCCTGCCAAATCTGCTCTTCATCAAAGTGTTCCACCACCAGCTGATCCAAAGGGCTGCCTTTATAATCTGCAGGTTCCTGGGCTTTGTGGAGGTCATACAGGGTCTTAGTGAGAGATGTGAAGTCTGCTGCCACTTCATCCTGAAGGCTGAAAAGTTGGAAACAAACATCACACATCAGTATGACAGGTCTAGTATATTATTAAAAGCAAGACGTTTCAGTGTTCAGTGCTAGGTTACAAGTACTCAATACAATATATTGAAATACATCCATCTGTGATACACTTGAAATACATGATATTCTTGAATATTAAAATTAAGTAGGTATTATGTAATAGAATGCAAACATTGAGTTAAAATTATTTTTGATTGCAGAGTTGACCGACACAACTGAAATATAAACCCCCACTCGTCCCATAAAATGTAGTAACGGTATATTAAGTAAAACGTATTTTATATACATGTTTTGTTAAGATACTACAGGATGCTATTTCACACGAATCAATCTTCCAAAACTATATTTTTTTCTAGCAGCTTTTTATTTAATCTCTTACAGGTGAGGTACCTACACATACATTTCGCAGTGCATATTCAAGAGTGTCTCTCTACAATACATTACTATTAAATCTGACTTATCTATGTGATTCTGAATTCCATTAGATATCTCAGGTCTTAGTCATGTAAGATTCAGGATAAATATGAAAGGATTTTCATATTTAACCTTTGTTCCCTTTGGTAACACTATTACAGCAGCTGGTTGTCCTGCAACATAACAGGTGTAACAATCACAGCACTACTGTTAATGCAGTAAGGTCAGCTGGAAGCTGGAAGGGAACAGGAAGTTAGTGTAGATACAGTTTAGTTTTCTGTGGTGGTTTTGTTGTGGTCCTCATTGGTGAAAAAGTGCAAGGGATAGATTTGTAGTGTTCATAGTGTTGTACTCCTTGAAGTATCCAACAGGGTGGCTTCTGCTAACGCTAGAAGTACATGCAATTAGCATTAGCTAACGGTTAGCTAGTTGAAACGCGTCTCTTAAAAGAAGCCTTAACAACATTGAACAGCTTTTTCAAAATCGAAAACCCACAGACAGCAATCACTTACCTCAGAAAGCTCTCTGGGTGGGCTGTGTTGGCATTTATTTTCTTTACACACTCCTCCAGCACGCTCAATACATCTACACTAGCCATCGTTGAGCCCACATGCGTGCCCGTCTGTGTCGCAGGTAAACAGGCTCACCAGGAAACAGTTCCGCTGGTGTCTTTGGTTCCTACATACAAACATGGCGTCCGCCGTGCTGAAGGTTGCAGGTTGGTTTGTGTTTATATATGTAATCAAGTTTTAAGTGCATACTTTAATCTCAAAATGAGTGTCAAATAACTTTATACAGCAGAAATACTCGCAGCAATTATTGGGCTACAATGGGTTGAAGAGGTCAGACCTGATAGGGTGGTGATATGCACATACTCACTAGCTGCTTTGGAAAGCATACAGTCGACAATAGCTGTAAGAGAAGATGTAATCATGTAACTTAACCATTGCTTACTGAGACTTCAGAGGAGGGGAATATATGTGTAGTTATGCTGGGTGCCTGCACATGAGGGGGTTAAAGGGAATGAGCATGCTGATAAGTTAGCAAAATATGTTTTACAAAAGGAAATAGCAATACCAGTTTCACTTGGAAAAGGAGAAGGAAAAGCAATAATTAAGAAGAAGGGTATGGAAATATGGCAGAAAAGGTGGGAGGAAGATCAGAAAGGGAGGAGATACCACAAGTTACAGAAATCAGTCATAACAAAGATCTATACGGAAAGGAACAGACGGGAGGAGATCATCATCACTAGATTCAGATTGGATCATACAGGATTAAACGGCACAATGTTTATAATGGAAAAAAGTGAGGCTGAAGAATGCAGGGGGTGTGGAGTGAAAGAAAAATGTGGAACACATCATATTACACTGCAACATGTATACAACAGAGGCAACAACTAAGAGACAGGGTCAGAGAGGCAGGAAGGGAGTGGAGCCTGATGGGGATAGCCCTACTGGGAACAGAAGGTGAGGGGGTAAGAGCTACCAGGAAGGCCACGGCCATGCCGTATTTGAGTGAAACAGGATTGATTGGAAGAATTTAAAACAACGTAAACACACTCACAGTGGTATAATTCCACAAGTGGTGATAGGATGATATAGTGATACACACTCTTGTACAGTAGGTGGCGGTATGCACCTTAACGTTGTTTGCAGTCCGCCAAAAACCGAGAGAAGAAGAAGAAGAAGCGCATACTTTTAGCAGTAGTCGTTTTCTGATGTATTGAACCTCAAATAAGACCGTGTTTAACTTTGGCTGTGTTGCACAAAGTTACTGCTCGAGTTGAACCATATGAATGTTACATAGCTTGTCTTGTTGCAGCGTTGGGATGGTACTCTACTTCTATGTCCTGGCCCCTGATGGATTTATTGATCATTGTTTTATCCTACTGTATGTCTGTCAGTCATTAAAGTCATGATTTACAACAAACCCTCGTTCAAAACCACCAATACCTTTATTTAAAATCCTTTGGAGACTCGATACCAATGACAGTCTGATTTTTAGGGGAATGTGTGTACAATAATGCACACTACATCTATTATTTACTAAATCTGATGGATTTGTGAATGGGTTTGCTTTGCAAACAACAAACATCTATTTGAAGAGTTAGAACCATCTGGTACAGAATACATTGAGTAATATGTGAGACTGTCGGAAGGTATAGTACATGTTTTTCAACATGTTTTTTTTAAAGGTTTTTTCAACCTTAAATCACATTTAAAGGAAAAGGAAGAACATGTAAAAACTTGAATGACTAATATTCCAACACAAAAGCCACATCATTCCAACAGTATTTTTAATCTGTTTATTCAGTGGCAGGTCTTTCCAGATGTTCTGCTCTCACACTCATGAGGGCACATTCAACGACAGCCCCCCTCCATCAGGGCCTACCTGGATCCCTGTGGAAGCTGGGGAGGCTGAACCACATCGCCATCGCTGTCCCTGACATGGAGAAGGCCACGGCTCTGTACCGGGACGTGCTCGGGGCCACAGTGAGTGACAAGGTGCCCCTGCCCGAGCATGGCGTTTACACAGTGTTTGTGGAGCTTGGAAACACAAAGCTGGAGCTTCTCCATCCTCTGGGGGAGAAGAGCCCGATCGCTGGCTTCCTACAGAAAAACAAGTCTGGAGGGATGCACCACATTTGTATCGAGGTAAGACAGCATTGAAAGCATATCTTGTAGACAAAGTATTGTATTCTGTAATCTGAATAAGCAAAATCTAAACTTATAACAGGAACAATACCCTTTCTTGACAGCAGACATTTTGACTCTTTATACTTGGGAAAGCACAGGTGTTACATTATGTGTCGCTCTGTTCGTCATCAGTAAGTCATGACAGATTGACAGTGAGCCGGCAGACACAATACCAGAACCACTGAAACCTAAAGATATTAAATATATACTAATATAATTCTACCACCATTCATTTAATTAGTAACACAGTTTATACTGTTTGGCCTGATTTAAGTCTGAAGTTCGAGTCATAGTGTTAATAAAGTGAGTTAAAGTGATTTTGTGGAAATAGTCATGAGTTGTTATCCTACGCACCTGCCACTAAGATTTGATCTTCTGCCAGAACAAAAATAATTGAAATGGTAAGTAAATGTTGAAATGTCTTCCGGGAACAAGGCCAACACCAGGGCCCAGATGGCACTGACACGCTGAATGGCCTGTATCCAAAAAATAATAGCAGCACATTAATGCAACAAACATCTTGTCCCATTTCATGCCAAAATGTAGTCTTTTGGCCTGGATAGAAACTGAATTTCTATCATACCTTAAAGGTATGATAGCACTATTATTTGGTATTTGGTGTATGAATTTTATATATGTGTCTTCGTCACTAAGCATTAGAAGAACACATGAAGAAAGCTCATCTCCACCAGGGCCAATCCATTACAAAACTGAATGGGTTGTCCTTGGCCCATGCTTCAACCTTCAAACAAGTTTCAGGAAACGTGGTCCTATAGTTTCCACTAAATCTTGCAGACCGACAAACATAGCAAAAACACAGCCTCCTTGGCAAAATAAACAAAAATGTATTCATCAGGATGTATTCATCATGTATAAATGTATTTATTTGACCGATTAATAAATCAATATAAGCTTATTCCAGATATATGTGTTACCAATGTATATGAGCATTAACAAGCATTACACAAATGTATTCAGTGGTCAACCAATAGTAGACACAATTGCATCATTTGTCCACTAGAGAGCACTGACACCTTCTTGGTATCCACTCGCAACAAATAATTAGAAAAAAGAATCTGTTGAATATGTAAAAATGTAAATTGTGGTCAGTCTTTTTAAACTATTTAACATTTAGTTAAGCTATATAAAAACAAACTTATGACACTTTAGTTGCACATTTCAAACCTCATCACAACCACTCATCCCTCTGTGTTAAACGTTGGACAACAATACAGCAAATACAGTGCATTAACGATTATAAGTGTGATAGAGAAATAAATAACTGTTTCCTGATTGCAGGTAGACGACATCAAAGCTGCAATAGTGGACCTTAAAGCAAAGAACATCAGAACTCTGTCAGCAGAGCCACGGATCGGCGCTCACGGTAAACCAGTGATGTTCCTCCACCCTAAAGACTGTGACGGTGTGCTAGTGGAGCTTGAAGAGGCGTGAACACCTCAGTCTGACGTGGGAGCTGTTTATTCACAAATATATTTTCCACAGGCAATTTGACAACAAATCCTGATTTTGTAATAGGAGTCTTTACAAAACACAGGTTTAATTTTTCCTATTTCATCAATGTGCCTCAAAGTCTTTCCTTCAGCTCTGTTCACTTTCCTAATGTGTTGGGGGGGGAAATATAAACATGGTGTGGTGTGTGGTTTGATGAATGTTCAATAAATACCCATTTTATAATGATAGCTGGGTGTTGACTTGACTTAAGTTCACTATCTTACACGTAACTGCACACAGTAACTATGATTTTTTTAATACAACAAAGACACAAAGTATTTTTAGGTGGATAATTGGGTGTAACTTAAAATATTAAACTCAGTGAATTTAGGAGGGCAGCACTATAAAATGTAACATTTTATTGGCACACAGTTTAAACAGTATTAAAGTTGATTATGTGAGATCTAAAACCATGCTTCTAGACCACCCCTAGGAGTGAAACCTGTAACAACCAGCAGGCACCAAAAGTCTGTCTTAAAAATAAAACAAGACATAAGTAATAAGAAAAGAGGAACTCGTGGTGATGCAGGTGTACACATTTTTCATTTACACTTCCAGTTATACATTTTTAATTTTCTGGGTTGGAAATCCCCTTGTTACATGCATTTTTCCTAAGCTTTAGACGCTCTAAACAAATCCTGTCACACAAAGCTATTCTTTGGAACCAACCAGACATGTGACAATTTGCTAAGACCTTGAGACACAGATGCCAGATGATCATAATTAGCTTCAGGTCAAGCTACTTATTTTGGATATTTAGTGTATATTTTCTAGAAACCACAGGCGATGGGGAAAACTGTAATTATATCCTTAACATTCAGATAAACATTGTAATTATTTTTTCTCAATTACCAGTCTCTGGTGTCTACTTCAACAACCACATGTTTTAAACTTGTTTATTAGCACACAAATACAATAGCCAGATCTTTTAAACATGTTATTTTCAAGATATAATAACAGACCTTATAAATTAAGGCTTTATAGAGAAGCTATCACTTTGCTCCCCTAAGTGAAACTTTACTTAAAGAGCTAGTTCGGTTTTCTTATGTAATGGAAGTGAAACTTATTATTTTTACCCTTTTTTGTCAGTGGAGTCTACCGTTTCATTGGGACAACAATACAAAATAAATGTAAACACGAGACAAATCAGAATCCAGAGGGTTCGTTTTATTTGGTTTGATTGACAGCTGCTTGCAAAAACACAGAAAATACAAAGTGAAGATGCAGGTTTAGCCGACAGCAGAGAGTGCAAGAAACAAGGCGGGCTTTGTGTGGAACAGCTCACAGCTCTGGGAACAGGTGATATGTGAAGTTACTGTAATATGGAGGGAATGGCAAAAATGAAACAAGTAATATAAGAGGTTTCAACGACTGGCCAGTAGCATGCAGATGGCTTCATATTTGGAAAAACAGTTGAAAGCAAGATACATATATATAAGGAAAGCTGCCAAATGTAATCTGGAGGGATTTAGGCGCTCTCTTTGCCCAGGGTGTGTTTGTCGAACAGATACTCGGCCAGGCCGTTCTGAGGAGCCCCCATGCGGCGCAGGTTGGTCACCCAGTCTCCCAGCTCCTTGATGGACTTCACCTGCTCGTCCAGGTAGTGTGTCTCGATGAAATCACACAGCTGAAAGAGAGAGGGATATCAAATTAGAGCTGAAAAACGTAATTATTTAGAGTGAAAAAAAAAAGCACTTTAATATACCCATGTGGTTCGTATTCAAGTACAACGTAAGCAAAGGTTACACAGGAGTTGAATTGACCATTTTACTAAGGATATTATTATGACGTTGAAACTATCAGTGATGTTTTTGTAACAGTTTCAGTTGTATTGCTCCAGGGTACAGTTGCCTTTAAACACCTCAGCCATCCTGGGTACAACGCTAATATATATAGCAGTCAAGGTGCTTTGCAAACATAAAGGCACAATTGAATACTCACATGTGGGTCATTATGATCAGAGCAGAGCTTGTGCAAGTCCAGCAGAGACTGATTCACGTTCTTCTCGAGCTGCAGGGCACATTCAAGGGCCTCCACTCCGCTGCCCCACTCATCCCTGTCTGGCTTCTGCAACACAGCAGGTCAGGGAAACAGAGAGACACTTATTAATGAGAGCCCTCTAAACGCTTCAGAGTCGGTTTAACGTTTAACTAGTGGCGTTTGTGTGTCACTGAAAGATAAGCGGCTGAGCACACTCACACCCTTTATATCTTTTTGACCTTACGTTACCCTCCCAACATGTGCTGTGATCGCCCAGAGCGGGAAATATCACAACCAGTGTTTCAGTAAAAAAAAAAAAAACACAAAAAAAAGGATTTACTTGCAACAGAAACACATACAAACAATAATGAGCTCATACCTTGACATCCTGGAGGAAGATCCTCCCCCCCCTCTGGTTCTGCAGTTTCATCAGCTTCTCAGCATGCTCGCGCTCCTCCTCAGACTGCTGACGGAAGAACTTGCTAAAGTTGTTCAATGCCTGGTCATCCCGGTCGAAGAAGTATCCCTGTAAGGAGAAAATACCAGAATGTTGGTAATCAAGAATCAAAAGCACAAATCCCTAGCTGCCATGACAAGAGCTAACGGCTAACTCTTGCTGTGCAGGCAGAGTTGAATATGCTTCAAATCCGTTATAAAAGAAAGGAGGATTTCAACAGTAGCTCCTTTGACCCAGTATAATTGTGGAAATAAATCTGTTCATGGATGTTTCAGTCCTATCTCGAATGACGTTCGTCTTAAGATACAATGCTCCTAAACACTGTTTTGTTTCATTAAATACACAACTACTATTAATAATATTTGATAAAATGTTCATGATCATTTGTTTTAATCAGTGAGCCATTGATTATTGCTAAAACGATGCAAGCTCATAAACACATGGCAAAGAACCATCTCAACTACACATTTATTCAACATACACAGGATAAAGCCTTTCTGAAAAGTAGTGGACAATGTTTAACATTTTAAAATTGTACATATATTAAAAGGTATAAAAATCCCTTTTTATAAACAACAGAGTGGGATGGACATGCTGTGCTTAGAGAGAAGCATGTTTTCTAAGGTCAGGCGCTGCACCCTGTGCCCATCTCTGTACATAATCTCAAAAAGGAACTTCAACCTTTGTTTTATTACTCAGTCACAGATCATTGATTCACAGCAGTTCAAACTAACACCTAAAAGCTCGCTGCCATGATCTAAACATCATTTTGTTCATGAAATGGCTGCTTTGAGGGCGGCTTTTATTTACCACGACAGTTGGCTGCCTGACTATCTTCACACAACATTTAAGCACACCCAGCTCAGCGGTTATATAACCACCATATTGAAAGGAATCAGAATCACTTTTTGAGAATAAATAACTAGTATAAGCAGTTACCCTTATGCAACCGTCACCCTGGGTTTTCCACTTATCTTTGTCCACACATCTGCTCTCTAATGCCTGAACACTTTTTGTAACCACCAATGAACTCTCACCATGGACATGTAGACATAGGAGGCATACAGCTCCAGGTTGATCTGCCTGTTGATGGCCGCCTCGCAGTCCTGGTGGAAGTTCTGTCTCACTTGGGAACTCATGGTACTGAAACAGAAAACTAAATCCTTACTAGACAAACAAACATGACTCCAAATTACACAACTCATATGTGGGTGTCAAACTGCATGTTGGATACAATTATATAGAAATGGTATTCCTTATTGACATGTGGTTGGAGCTTCTCAAATGTGAGGCTTTGATGAATTACTCTGTTTAATGATGTTGTAATAATAAGTCACACAAAGAAATGTAGTGCTTTGTATTTGCATGTTTAATTGAATTGGTTGATGATAAATGTCTGAGTGTGGGTTGCTGTGAAACAACACTCCGCACTGCAGAAATAGACACTGAGGCCCAATCCACACTGTTTTTACTAAACAGAGGTATGATCCTAAGTAAAACAAATATGAGGTTGTTAACATCGCAATTTATCAGTGGATGTTTGCTGGTACAAAACTTGGAAACCGCGTGTTTCCTGACGGACACACACAGCGTTGAGTCAGCACCGATGCACACTCGCTGTTTGAGGGCTTGATAGCACACTCCCCCTCCCCCCTCGTTGGTTTGTAACAGCACATGTGGCGGACCCTCCGCGCGAATGCACAAAGGGAGGGGTAGTGTAGTTTGTCAATCGATGGGCCCTACCTTCATCAGAGGTATAATCTAAATGTTACATCACTATCACGAGGTTTGGCACAAACCGATTTTGTTATACAAGGCAGATCTTCTCTGTTACAAGATTTTTAAAGATTATATTGGCCAGCTTTAACTAGGGCTTGGCAATATAATATAATGATGTATTGTGACAAGTAATTGTGTCAGATGTTAGTGCTATTTTACGTCTCAAGACTGCGTTACAGTAAAGTGATGCATTTTTCTGAATTTACCAGATTGTTCTATAGTCAAATATGTCAATAAATTCACATAAATTCTGCTGCTAATTATTTCTCAAAATTCTCATTGTGTAAATTGTTTGCAAAAGCATCAATGGACAGCCATTCCATATCTAGGCATTTGATCACGACAATAATTGGTTTTATTTTACCCAGCCCTGGCTTCAACACAAGGTTACAATTTCGTCAAACAACGCATAAGAGCACGAACTAGGAACATGTTGAAGTTGTTACGGTCTAAATATACAACAAATCAGTGTTTATTGGGCGGATGTAGTGTGTTATGCCGGAAGAGATGACGCAGGCCCCGTTAGCTCTCCCTCCGAGTGCTAACAGGGGCCACACCGAGATAAACAACCGCAGCAGTAACCTTACTCCTCCAATCTGCTAACAAACATGACGTGAAAACCGTCGACGACAAACAAATACACACTGATAAAAAAACATTAAAATGAATTCTTACCAAGTCTCAGTGTCAGGTCTTCGTGGGAAGATGTCGAGAAGCGCGTTAGCAAAACAAACAGTTAGCTAGCTTAACGTGTTCGGTATAAAGTAAGATTGATAGCTGAGGTTTTGCGTTAATTAAATTAAATTAGATGTGGTCGATGATGGTCTGGGTGATCAAAAGGATTGTAGGGTGTCGAAGACAGCTGAAAGGTTGCCGTTCAAGCACTGTTGAAGCAGGTAACCTTCACTGTCCGCTAACGAGAGGACCGACTGATAACTAGACGGTGGACTGGTTCTTATTATACATCCATGGGTGGGGAGCGTAACGTCACTGCCTGGAAAAGGGAGGGGCTGCACCACCAACGGCTCCTCCCTTCCGTTTAAGTCCCGCCCTTCTACTTCCGCCCCATGGGACCTTATTTCGGGAAAATTATGTATTGAATTCAATGGGGAGAGAAAGATTATCTTTCGATCCCGTTTGAATTGTGCCACGAATTACGCATATGATGTTAAAAAATCATTTATGAGGCTGGGAAAAGGAGTCTTTTTTATTATGGTCCTTGGTCTTGGAATGATTCAATCACACCTCAAACTGACGGCACTTGTCTCAATAGCATGTTTTAAATTGAAGTTGTCTGAAGTCCTTACCACCAGCTGCTCTTGCAGTAATAAGTAGTGCACCTTTCTTACTGTCCTAATGTGCACAATGTAGTGACTGCTTTTTCGTCTTTTGTTTTCTTAGTTATGTTCTCTGTATTTTATATGTTTGTGTTATGTGTAACGTTGCTGCCTTCTTGGCCAGGTCAGCATTGAAAATGAGATTGTATCTCAATGCTTTTATCTGGTTAAATAAAAAATAAACAAATGTCCATGTCAAAAAAGTCACAGTTTGTCGTAAAACTGTTGAAATATAAGACTATGAAAAATACACAACTAGAAAGATTACAAATCCCAGATGTCATAATTGTTTTCCTCCACTAAATATAAGATGTCTAAGATAAGATCACTTTAACAATATGCCTGTGTGCTTTGTACCAGGTTGTAATCACCAGCAATGGGTCTTGCTCGTTCTTTCGCTTCACGTCTGATGAAAGGACCAGCTGTGGCTGGCTGGATCAAGTTAGCTACCTAGCTAGTAGCAAGTACGTTAGTTAGCATTACAGCCTTCTTAGCCTTGTCATTTTTAATAGCCTTAACATTAAGTTGAAGAGTTTTGAAGACTTTGAAGAGTAGGCCTACTGTCACACCGGTAAGAAGATCATTCTATAATACACCGTTTAAGCCCGGATGCCCCCGAGGGAGACATGCTAACGTACATTAGCATTCATGCTATCTGCACAAATAGTTAACATTGAACATTAAAAAGATCAGGCAGTTCAGGGAGAATCGAAGGAAGGCAGGCAGGCAGCTTTGCATGACATTCTTCTGGACGTGTTTTATTGTTTAGCAAGACAGTAGTGACGGCCAACTTGGTGACGTGTGTTGATGCAACCCACTCTCATGGCATTTCGTGTTCACCAACACGATTTTTAATCTATTGATTCATGTTCACCAACACGATTTCCCCCTTTTTTTCGTGTTGCACAGCACGATTTTAAAAGCAATATATTTCTACTGGTAATGTGTTTCGTGCCTGCAGCACGTCTTTTTCTCCGGTCGGGTCGTGGAAGACTGGAAGCTGTGTGGTTCATAAAAACATGTTCTTACTCAATATCAAGCCACAATTATTGCTTTTATTTGAAATTGTATAATTTCGGACTTTTGTTGCCGTCTGTGAGGAAAATAAATGGGGCTCAGAGCCTCAGAATACTGAACTCTGTATTTTTTAAATCTTTTTTTCCTTCTAATTTGTTATTCTTTTCAAAATAACACACTGTTATTTACTCACCAATAACACACAATTATCCTTGCTTTTATTTATTGGTTTAATTCCATAATCGCTGGCTTTTTTGGCTTCCGTCAGGAAATGAATTTCAAAATAAAAATAACCGGAAACAGACGTAGGCATTTCGAGCGATTACCCAAGATCCTCAGCTATGGTTTAAGCTCGCTGATTGGATGTTTTAGCCGCAATGCATGCTGGGATTTGCTGTTTATATGATATGAAATCCGGAAAACATTTTAAAAGAATAAAAGAATACTTAATTCCGAGTGCTCTTGCTTTTCTCTTTGAAATTCATCACATAACGGCATTGTAATACACGGTTCGGCTGCATTACATATTACAGATCTGCCGTAGTTCTTTATTTATAGAGCCCTGATGAGAAGACCTTTGGAAAAACTGGAAGAAATGCCGCCGAAACTGAATACTTGACGTGGATCATAAATATATCAACAATTAAACAACATCTTCAATTTCTCTTCACACAATATGTCTCCTTGCAGTATCAACACTAATTCGGCTGACTTTTACATTTGATCTAATTCATAGATAGGTTATATTTACACCATAACGGTGCACAGCTGATATAAAAGGACTTGTAGTTTTTAAAGATATTACTGATTTTCTTTGAATATAAGAATGTAAATACTGAGTCTGAAATAGTATAGCAATATGCTGTAAAATTATGTGAAAGCATGAATAAAACTACACATATTCAGATGTTATACATACATAAGTGTCCTACACTAATAATAAAAAGTTATTATGGCTGTGTGTACCTTGTGTGCACCGCCTAGTGGTTAAAGCACGTTATTGAATTATTGTTTTTATGTGTTATATTTGATTAAAAAAATATTAAGAGTACATACTTTCATAGGGGGAAAGTAGAAGGTCTGTGATAGAAAAATAGAATATAAAAAATCAAGAAGATACTATAAGTGATCTCTACAATAAAACAGTTTAGTGCAGGATGTACAAAGATATTAATAGGAGGAGGTGCAAAACAGAAAAACGAATGAACCTTTATTTAAACATTAAATAATACTTTAGATTAAGGTCTTCTTTTAAATAAGAAAACAACTTTGGGGGTATCTATCTACATCTATCTATCTATCTTTCCTGCTATGTTAACTATGTTGAAGCACTTATTTTAACTGATATTATACATATGAATTATACTCCTATGTATGTAGATAGTATAAGAAATATGCAGAATATTAGTTTAATGGTGGAGGTATACACACATATTGATAGATGTCTTGTAATGCGCTGTTGAGGAACCTGTGACCCAAGATTTTCATTCATTGCATACACTGTAGTTGTGTATATGATATGTCAATAAACCTTTGAAAATCTTGAAATCTTGAAAGGGATGTGCAAAATAGCCATAATATACAGTCTTTAATTAACTATTAGTAGAGAATAACGAGTAATGAATATACTTTATTACTCGTTTCCATTCATGTCAATTGCAGATAAATGTTTAGTCTTCTCAAGCACCAACTATCAAATATGTCGCCTGATTGTTGGCACTTGACAATCACCTTACCTGAATTTTACTCAGGTGTAACTAAAGTCTGATTTAAGGGTTGTTTATATTTCACATCATTAATCAGAATCTGCAGTAACTCAAATAAGTGTAGAAGAGTAAAAATACCAGGTTAACCTCTGAATTGTAGTGGAGTAAAAATACCAGAGTAACAATGAGCTGTCATGTGGGTATATATTAATGCTGCGCATTATGGACACAAGCGATTTTCACCCATTTATTAATTATATGTTTTACATTTGATAACACCAATGTGTTTAATACTGGCAACTTCTAATTGTGGGATAAATGAAAACGTTCAGTAGAGACGTCCCATAGAACATTTTGCGAAACACAATAGCCAGCATGTGTAGTTCTGGGGGGGCGTTCGATTCCAGTTTTGGATAGTCTGGCGTGGTTTCGTTCCATTTCACACAGCTGTTTGACGCTCTGCGTAACCTTGGCACACTGCCATTCCAACATCCAATCCCAGAGCTTGAAGATGAATCACGGGGACTGTAGTCCTAAACGATAGCTGGGGATTATGGGTCGTTTAGTGTCTTCGGCCATCCTAAACTCCTAGAGGCCTACATCTGTTTCCGGTTATTTTTATTTTGAAATTCAGTTCCTGACGGACGCCAAAAAATCCCGAGATTATGGAATTAAACCAATAGATAAAAGCAAGGATAATTGTGTGTTATTGGTGAGTAAATAACAGTGTGTTATTTTGAACAAATTAGAAGGGAAAAAAAGATTTAAAAAATACAGAGTTCAGTATTCTGAGGCTCTGAGCCCCATTTATTTTCCTCACAGATGGCAACAAAAGTCCAAAATTATACGATTTAAAATAAAAGCAATAATTGTGGCTTGATATTGAGTAAGAACATGTTTTTATGAACCACACAGCTTCCGGTCTTCCACGACCCGACCGGAGAAAAAGACGTGCTGCAGGCACGAAACACATTACCAGTAGAAATACATTGCTTTTAAAATCGTGCTGTGCAACACGAAAAAAAAGGGGGAAATCGTGTTGGTGAACACGAATCAATAGATTAAAAATTGTGTTGGTGAACACGAAATGCCATGAGACTGGGTTGGTTGTTGTGCGAGACCAGAGATGTAGTTCATTGAGCGGTTTCACGCAAAAAAAGTCTTACTTCACAGTTTTATGGCAACATTTTTTTTTTAACTTGCAAAATTATCTTTTAAATTGACAAACATAATTTGTGTAATTCGTGGCACAATTCAAACGGGGTCGAAAGATAAAGTTTCTCTCGCCATTGACTTCAAGGTCCCATGGAGGTCCACCGGAAAGGGAGGGACTTCGCCTCTCTATATATATATGAGGCCCAATCCTAAAGCAACTGCTCCTGTATCAGATGCACTATTTGATGCCACCAATTGAGACAGTAAACATAGAAAGTATTTCAAATAGACCATCTTTTTATTATTTAACTGGAATACATTTACATTTGAAATTATATACACAACATTTTTTCACAAATTACAGACCTTCAAATTGCCATTTTAAGTCAACTTTTCTCTGCACACTTACTCAAGAACATTAAAAAACAACTATATGAGTACAGAGACATTACCCTATCTGAATTGATTGAAGAATGAAAGTCCACATCAATATAAGCAGTTCAACAACATTATGTACGACCAGCTACTTCATCAAATGTCTCGGCTGTAGAGCCTCAGACAGGTCTTTCAGCTCCTCAAGTGCATCCATCATCATTCCCAGGTTTTTAACAAAAGCAACTGACGTCAGCTTTGCTGCTAGCCCCTCATACACGCATCTGTCATTTGAGGAACGGTTCACATCTACACTTGCCGATGTGAGGTGATGATAGAGTGCAGCATACATTGTCCAAACAGCGTAACTTACTGTCCTAAAAGATGAAGCCACCCACCTTATC